GTTGGAACCGTGTAAAAAAAGAGATTGAATGAACAGGAACCTATGAGAGGAATTGAAAGCCTACAAATTACGGCGTTATTGGGCCTGAATAGGATACTGAGGAAGGTGCTGATTTCTCAATTTCAAGCGGTGTCTCTGGCGGAGTATTTGAATGGGTCCAACCTTCCCGAGTAAAAAGTACATGACAGTTTCTCTAAGTCAGTATGCTTATGAAGTTTTGTTTTTTAATCATTTCACCCCAAGCAAGGTAACAAGGCTGCTTAGACGCGAGGTGGAGATTATTGAGTATGACAGAATAATAATAATAATAATAATAATAATAATAATAATAATAATAATAATAATAAAAGACATTATTAAGGAGCAAGAACAATAAAAGAACAGAAATTAAAAAAACTAAAATTTGTCTGACGTATTTGAAACTCCGGCATCCTTAAAGAGATTTTGCTATGAAAGCTACCATCCAGGTCCTTATTTTTTTGAGACGAGAGAAAAAAAAGAGACATAAATGATTTCAGTCAGCTCATAGTTGTTACATTATAATTTTTTCTTAATATAAGTTAACTCGTGCAAGCAATTGGTTCCGTAGTGTAGTGGTCATCACGCTCGCTTCACACGCGAAAGGTCCTGGGTTCGATCCCCAGCGGAATCAATCGAGTCATTTTTCAGTTGATTTTTGTTTATCAAAAAGTTTGTTTTACTCTTCGTCGCAATGCAATAAATATTTGTTTAGATTAGTTTTACTGTCTCGTCGCTATATCTTGTAAATACATTTTACTGATTTCTGGCATATTTCTCATGGACCATCGGATTCATTTGTTTATTCGAGGTTAAACATGCGTATGTATTCCCCTAAAACTCTTCGCTATATCTAAAAACCGAAAAATACTTAAAATATTTAATTTCGTCCGCCACCACATACCACAATAAAGTCATATAAACATTTGTAGGTTTGAAACTAGAATTTGTCTGATGTATTTGAGACTTTGGCATCGTCTAATTGTCGTTACGCTGAAAACTGTTTGGATGGTCATTATTTTTATGAGACGAAAGAAGAGACACAAAAGATTTCAGTCTCCTCATTGTTATTACATCAGAATTTGTTCTTACCATAGTAGTATGGTGGTTATCACGCTCGCTTCACACGCGAAAGGTTCTGGGTTCGATCATCAGTCCTCAACTCCGTATTTAGGCTGATGACAAAAATGTTTATTTCTGTCTTATTCGTAGGTCCGACAAAGTAAACATGGCAGCTGCTTTCGAAAATGACCTCCAGTCAGTTTTTAAGTGGTGCAAGAAATGGTTAGTAATTGTTAGCGTCTCCAAAACGGAATTGCTAACTTTAATCACCCTCGCGAGTCATTATTGCCTTCCATCAACAAGACTGATGCTAACCTCCAGGAGAACAACTCAATGTATATTCTTCGTCTCATGTTTTCAACTGAAATGAAATAAAATGTTTATATTAAATCAACTGCTAAGACTGTACTTATGAAAATTAATTCACCGTGTCGGGCTAGATAAATTTTCTCGTCAGAATCCAACTTGCACATTTATAAATCTACTATTCGTCCGCGCATTGAATATTGCTTTCATATCAGGCAGGTTTTTGACAAAATACAAAAAGGGACCTGTAATTTTATCGGTCCTGACCTGGCATCTCGACTCTAAATATTTTCATGAGATTTGTTCTGATGAGCTTTCCTTCTTGGTAACCTCGACCCCATACATTTAAGCGTACTACTTGATTGGAAACTAGGTCCCTTTGTTTTACTGTTGAACTAGCTAGTTCTATTCTAATAGTTTTTTCTCGTACTTCTCGACTGTGGAACTCACATCTGGTTTCTACCTTCGCTTCCACCTACGTTATTCAAAAATTGAAACGCTGGATCAATCACCATATGATATCTCCCTGAATTCTGTTCTTTTCTTGTCCTTTCTTCTCACTAACTTCTCATTTTCTTTCATTCTCAGTAACCATTTGCGACTTAGTGACTTTATCGCCTTGCATTGGGTGAAATGTTTATAAAAAAAACAACAGTTACTCAACATCTTATGTGAATATGCAAAATCATGTAGTGTAATAACATCTGTTATAATAAATAAAAATAATGTAGAGTATTGGGGCAACTTGTTGTCAGTTGATCTTCAGTCCGTAATGGGTATGACGAAAAACTACATCCGCGTTTTGGGTAAGACGATAAGCTACATCCAACAGCGAGGCCATTGATGAGGAGGTTTTGAGGAGTGTGGAGCCACTTTTTAATTGCTGGTGTTCCCGGGTCCACCCTGATCCGGGTTGGTGGCTCCCGTTGGGGTCCCAGCTATGGCTAAATAGTTGACTCCCCAAACTGTAGTAAATGCACTATGAAAGTGTAAAAAAAGGTTTTAATACCAGAAATACTTCGTAAAATATTATTACCAGCAATAAATTTTTGAAGTAAAAAATTATTACCAGCAATGCATTTTTGAAAAAATATTACCAGCTATACATTTTTGAAAACAATATTACCAGCGATAAAAATTTTGTCGGCATTAAATAACCCATTGATATGCGGTAAAACAAAACAAACCAAACTAAACTGATCTCCAGTGAAAGCAGCGGCATAAAACTGAAGTGAAATTTCAATGAGTACATTCTCATTATTATTAACGATAATAAACGCTTCTAGCAACTTGGCCCAAAAGTCTATACGATTCTGCATTCACTAATAATAATAATAATAATAATAATAATAATAATAATAATAATAATAATATGAAAAAGAAAGTAATTCCGTGCCAGTTATTTCTCTCATGATTTCCATGGTTTGTGGTTTGGCAAAGTCTTGCCTCTGTGACATCTAATCTCTCAAGTGACTGCCTCGCTTTGTAGAACAAGATTTAGGGACCTGGAATTTTGTCCCATAAAAGCTTGGCAGATCGAATTCCTCAAGTCGGAAGTGCGACGATCATTTATAACAGAAAGCGGGGGTGGTAGCAGTGGGGAGGGAAGAAGGAGCGGTGGATGGCCGGGCCGGGAGTCTTTTACTGCGGCCAAGGAGAAGAAATTGAATAGAAATTGTTAGGAATTGGGTGTGTGTTTGGTACTGGCTGTACTTGGAGGGGATGATTGATGGCGAAACAGATCGACAGATAGGGAGGGCAGAGAAGATAGGAGAGGAAGAAGGAGAAGTAGAGAGAGAGAGAGAGAGAGAGAGAGAGAGAGAGAGAGAGAGAGAAAACGAGAAGGTGAAGGAATGAAAGAGAGTAGGCGAGGAAAAACAGACAGAAAGAATGGAGAATAAGAAAGAAGGAATAAAATTATAAAAGATTATTTAAAAATATTGAACAAGGTGGGACAGAGGTAGAAACTAAGAGAGATTGGATAAAATTTAAGAAATATATATATGTGTGTGTGTGTGTGTGTGCGAGTGTGCGTGTGAGAGTGTGTGTGTGTGTGTGTGTGTGAGAGTGTGTGTGAGTGTGTGTTTGTGTAAGTATGTGTGAATGAGTAAGTGTGGGTGTGAGTATGTGAGAGCGATTAAGTGCGAGTGTGTGTTAGAGTGTGAGTGTGTGTGTGTGTGTGTGAGAGTGTGTGTGAGTGTGTGTTTGTGTGAGTATGTGAGAATGAGTAAGTGTGGGTGTGAGTGTGTGAGAGCGATTAAGTGCGAGTGTGTGTGAGTGTGTGTGAGTGTGTGTTTGTGTGAGTATGTGAGAATGAGTAAGTGTGGGTGTGAGTGTGTGAGAGCGATTAAGTGCGAGTGTGTGTGAGAGTGTGTGTGAGTGTGTGTGTGTGTGTGTGAGAATGTGTGTGAGGGTGTGTGTGTGAGTGTGTGTGTGAGAGTGTGTGTGAGTGTGTGTTTGTGTGAGTATGTGAGAATGAGTAAGTGTGGGTGTGAGTGTGTGAGAGCGAGTAAGTGCGAGTGTGTGTGTGAATGGGTGTGTGAGAGTGAGTGTGACAGTGTGTGAGTGAGTGTGCGAGAGTGAGTGTGAGTGTGTCTGAGTCTGGGTGTGAGTGTGTGAAAGTGAGTAAGTGTGAGTGTGTTGTATGAGTATGGGTGCGAATGTGTGTGTGTTTGTATGTTGATAACAGAAAAAAAAGACAAAAGGAAAGCATTTATACCAATGCGTTTCGATCTTTCGCATAAACGGCTTTCTTGTTTTTCCTTTATTTCATTATAGCCCTCTCTTTACAGATACATTTTATTTTTATTTGAATGTTATACACACACAGAGTCGATAGAACAATTACGACTGATTAGTGAGTTCGATCCTCACTCGACGACCCACACTTTCAGCCTTGTGACAAATCTAAGCTACACTAGAAAATCTCCATAGAATATATATATATATATATATATATATATATATATATATATATATATATATAAAAAGAATGAAAAAGAAATGGTTATCACAGATTTTGCAAGCACAGAAATAGCTACTTTATACAAAAGCGAATTATTCTTCGACTTCTTTTTCTCTTATACTTTTACCCAAGCTAAGGAGGCCCTTTTTTCGACGACCGGTGAGCGTGCATCGAGAAGGATTATGTGAAGAAAGAGATATGGCTGCGACAAACGAAGAAAGAACGCTGGCGGTGGGTGGATTCGGGAACGATCGAAGCGGTTTGTGGTTACAAGAAAAACGGTCAGCTTGAGAAAGCTCTCGAGATAGTTTGATTGACGTCGTAGGCAATGGTGTAATGGAGAGTAAGGAGGAGAGGAGAGTAAAGAGTGACAATCGATGGATAAAAGAATCGCTCAGGAGATAACCGGAGACAAACACGTGAATAGAAATAAATAGACAGAGATAGATAGATAAATAGATATGAGCAAACGGAGATAGATAGATAGATAGATAGATAGATAGATAGATAGATAGATAGATAGATAGACAGACAGATAGATATGAACAGACATAGATAAATGTGAAAAATGAAATAGATAATGAACAAAGATAGATAATGTACAGATAGATAGATAGATAGATATCAACAAACGGAGATTGATAGATATTTAAAGATTTAAATATTTAAAATAGCAATGAAGAGACTGAGGTAGTGAGATAAAGAGAGGGTGGGAAAGAGAAAGAGAGAGAAAGACAAAGAAGTAGAGAGAGAGAGAGAGAGGGAGATAGAGAAAGAATGATAGAGAAAAAAGAATGAGAGGGATGGAGAGAGAAAGAGAGAGATAGAGAGAAAGAAAAAGAAAGAAAGAAAGAAAGAAAGAAAGATAGATAAAGGGTGAAGTATGTCGGTATCCAAATTTGAAAGGATAAGAACGGGAAATTAGAAAATTTATGAGGGAAGAGAGAGAAAATACAAGAAATAATTCAGTTTTAATGTGGAGAGAGAGAGAGGGCGAGGGAGAGAGAGAGCGTGGGAAAGAGAGAGAAAGAGAGAGAGAGTGAGAGAGAGAGGGAGGGAGAGAGAGAGAGAGATAATCAATGCGAAAGAAATTAAAACGACAGAAATTAATAATGAGGAAGAAAGAGAAGTTAAAAGAAAGAGAATAACAGAAACAAAAAAGAGACGGAAAGAGAATGAGAGACTCAAAGAGAAAAATAAACAGAAAGTACGAAAAACAGAGTGAAAAAGAAAAAGAGAGAGTAAAAAGAGATAAATAAGAGAAAGGGAAGATAAGAAAGAGAATAGAATAACAAAAATTAATTAACAGAAAGGAAAGTGAGTAATAAAATTAAAAAACGAGAAAGAGAAAGAAAAAGAAAAAAAGACACAAAAAGATACAAAGAGTGAGTGAAATAGAAAGTGCGTGTGTGTGTGTGTGTGTATGAGAGAGAGAGATAGAGAGAGAGAGAGAGAGAGAAGAAAACCACAGGAATGAATAAGAAACTGAATGAAAGAGAGAAAAAGTTAGAAGGAATCATAAAGTGGTTCGATGTAATAAAAAACAAAAGACAAATGACAGAGTCAGAGAAAGGAGAGATAAATAAATGTAAAAAAAAGATGGGAAAAATAAATAATGTAAAAAAAAAGATGGGAAAAATAAATAAATGTAAAAAAAAAGAGGGGAAAATAAATAAATGTAAAAAAAGCGGAAAAAGATGAAAAAGAAAGAGCGAGATGAGAGGCAATCGAAAAAAAGAATATTTTTAAAAAAGCGAATGCAAAAACAAATTAAAAGACAGAAAAACGAAAACTGAATTGTATGTAAAACAACAACAAAAAAAAAACTAAACAAAAAATACACAAACAAACAAAAAAGGAAAAATTAGAAATAGGAGAAAAAATGGCGGAAAATAGAAAACTAACAAATGAGATCAGTAAAGGTATGTTTTCTCCGGGGAGAAAGAGAGAAGAAACGAACCAAATCTCTAAGAAGACACCCACATGCACAAAGAATAAGAGAGAGAGAGAGAGAGAGAGAGAGAGAGAGAGAGAGAGAGAGAGAGAGAGGAAGAGAGAGAGAGGGTGCGTGTGATAGAGAGAGAGAGGGAGAGAGAGAGAGTGGGTGAGAGATGGAGGAAAAAGAAGGAAAATGGCAAGAAAGTGTGGAAGCGCCTTCCAGTTCTTCCTGAGGATTTATGATCGTCTCGCCTGGCAGGCTCAAGTCCACAGAGAAAAGATCCAGTCACGCCTATGTAAACAGGAAGATATCAAAAGTAATTTAGTAGTTGTTCCAGAGTGGGACGGCTGGCTTCTTTCGAATCATATAAATCCGCGCTGGTCTTCGTGCGCGTGAGGAATCACCGGCATTAGTTCGAGCAAGACGCGCCGTTGCCGTGTACTGATAGCACCACCAGCCAATAGGGGGGCGCAACTGAGCGTGAAATTTGCTATGTCGGTAAGCGGCCCATCAAGATGTCATAACAGCGACCACTTGACAAATTCACTGCTCACTTTTATCGATGGAACCAAATGGGAAAGGAAGCATTGAACTGGGGCGGCGTATCGTGCTCTGTGAGGAATGGACATAGTTCTCAAGGAGAGGAAGCTGCCAAGAACATGGGCGGGGCCTGTAGAAGACTGTGTGCGATATTATATGGCTTAGTATTTGTGTAGTGTGAGTGTAAGAGACTCCATGTTTATTGATGGCTTTATAATAGAGTATGTAAGATTATTCTTTGATGGGCACATGATTGGGGAATTTGTTTTAAGTCTGGTGTTCGAGTGCAGAGAGGTCGCGGCAATGCATGTTCATCTACGGAAAATTGGCGCTACATATTCTTTAAAATTTATTTCTCCGAATTCGCAGTTTGATTTGGACGAGATAAGGCAAAGTTTAATAATAACAAGACAAAATTTTATAATAGTTTGAATTCTGAATAGGTGTAGATAGGTTTGCCTATCTAGAGGTTCGAACCTCTCTCGTGGCTTTTGAACAGGGGTAGAGTTTTATCTCTTGGGTTTCTGGATCCTTCTAGATTCTACTTCAACTCTATACTTTAACGTCTCTATTTGAACACTGAAATTTCATTTACTAATTAAAAATTTTCCTCTTCAATAGGAGTAGATAGGTTCGCCTATCGTCCGGTTCACACACCTTCCTGATCTTTTGAATAGGAATAAAGGTTTATAATTTTTTCCTATTTAAGAGTGGGTTTCCGGTTCCTTTTAAAGTCTACTTCAACTCTATACTCCTGATGTCACCATCAGAAGAGTGAAATTTTATTTACTATTTATTAGTTATTTTTTCCTCAATAGGAGTAGATCGGTTCAGCTATCGTAGTAGGAGTAGGAGTAGTAGGTTTATCCCTTGCTTCATGTTTAGAATTGGGTTTCTGTTTTCTTGTAAAGTTTTCTTATTCTATTTCACACCCAGTAGCACCTCGTGCCTTAGTGGCATTATCGCCTTGATTGGGGTAAATTGATTTAAAAAAATATCTTAAAAATTGAAATGGCTGTGAACTAAACTTGCAAAAGCCTAAATCAGGATCAAATTTAGGATCAGGTTTCAGGTTCCTTCTAAAAAAAAATTTAAATTTATAGCAGCCGCGAATTGATTAAAAAAGAACTACCCCCCCCCAAAAAAAAAGCCACAGTGACTTAGACAAGACAGAGTTCAATAATAGTGGATATTAAGAAAGATATAGTTTCGGATTTCACAATGGCATCAGTGGCTGGGGATCAATCTCAAGTATAAACTAGATTTCAAAATGATTATTTTATAAACAGGTAGACTCTCCCAATTAAAGAGCTGAGTTCGTTACATTCACTTACGTGCAAACACCCAGGGAAATATATGAATCCATATCATCCCTCCAACAGGATTGACTGGGTCCTTGGTCGGTAACCAGTCTATCACAGAAAGAAACGGCAAATTACAGCGGGAAAATATTCTGCCTAATTAGTCATGAATCTAAAGAGCAAGGATCATCCATACGGGTATCACTGACATCTAACTGACACTCTCCCAACTTGAACTATGGCACTTAACTAACTGACAGTCTCACAACTTGAACGTAAGGCACTTAACTAACTGACACTATCCCAACTTGAACGTATGGCACTTAACTAACTGACACTCTCCCAACTTGAACGTAAGGCACTTAACTAACTGACACTCTCCCAAATTGAAGGTATGGCACTAAACTAAATGACACTCTCCCAACTTGAACGTATGTCACTTAATTTACTGACACTATCCCAACTTGAACGTATGTCACTTAACTTACTGACACTATCCCAACTTGAACGTATGCCACTTAACTAAATGACACTATCCCAACTTGAACATATGGCACTTAACTAACTGACACTCTCCCAAGTTGAACGTATGGCACTTAACTAACTGACACTCTCCTAACTTGAACATATGCCACTTAACTAACTGACACTCTCCCAAATTGAACGTATGGCACTTAATTTACTGACACTATCCCAACTTGAACGTATGGCACTTAACTAAATGACACTCTCCCAACTTGAACGTATGTCACTTAACTTACTGACACTATCCCAACTTGAACGTATGGCACTTAACTAAATGACACTCTCCCAAGTTGAACGTATGGCACTTAACTAATTGACACACTCCCAACTTGCACGTATGACACTTAACTAACTGATACTCTCCCAACTTGACAGTATGGCACTTAACTAACTGACACTCACCCAAGTTGAACGTATGGCACTTAACTAAATGACACTATCCCAACTTGCACGTATGACACTTAACTGATACTCTCCCAACTTGACAGTATGTCACTTAACTAACTGACATTCTCCCAAATTGTACTTATAACACTTAACTAAATGACACTCTCCCAAGTTGAACGTATGTCACTTAACTTACTGACACTATCCCAAATTGAAGGTATGGCACTTAACTAAATGACACTATCCCTAATTGAACGTATGCTACTTAACTAAATGACACTCTCCCAAGTTGAACGTATGGCACTTAACTAATTGACACTCTCCCAACTTGAACGTATTTCACTTAACTTACTGATCCTCTCCCAACTTGACCGTATGGCACGTAACTAACTGACACTCTCCCAAGTTGAACGTATGGCACTTAACTTACTGACACTCTACCAACTTGAACGTATGGCACTTAACGTACTGACACTCTCCCAACTTGAATCTATGGCACTCAACTAATTGAGTCTCTCCCAACTTGAACGTATGGCACTTAATTAAATGACACTCACCCAACTTGAACGTATGGTACTTAACTAACTCACTCTCTCTCAACTTGACCGTATGGCACTTAACTAACTCACTCTCTCCCAACTTGAACGTATGGCACTTAACTGAACCAAACTTGAACCTTTTCTCTAATTAGTCTACTTGAAAACCGTTCTCTTGAAAAATTGTTTCAATACAAATATTTTATATATTTCAACCGATGAGAGCACTTGCTGTTTTGTCAAGTAATGCCGAATGTTTCCTTATAAAGAAACCATGACAACCCTTTATTTCCACTATTTTCGATATTTACTTACTGCAAGATATTTACTATGTTCTCTCAGAATCATCTTGCCATGCATCAATATTAAGTGATTTGAACACAAAACCATAACGTAATTAATGAATTTTTTTCTAGAGACCTAAACATATTGCCTTGCACAAGCAAAGAAAATCCTATTAAATGGAACCTGCATGTTTCAAATATAAAAATGGAGTTCTACAGCTTTTCCTCCAAGAACTGGCAATTTGTGGAATGAACTCCCGCGTGTGTGTTTTCCTAATCAGTTCAATATTGACTTTTTCAAGTCTAGTGTCAGTTGTTATCTATCCTTCTTATTCTTATAATATTCCCTTCCAGTCCTATCCCACACCTCATTTATACTTTTGACTGTAACGCTCTACCTTGTGTGGCTCTTGAGACTTGTATTGGGTGAAATTTATTTAAAAACATTATGACGCATCACGGCAAATCAGTAGTTTTGAAATGAGTCACTCAATGCTTTACTTCAGTAGAGAGTTAAATCGTGTAGCATTGTATCTTACTATGATTATCTTATTGTCAAGTTGAGGAGAACAAGATTGAGTCCAAGTTTATTGATACAGGAATGAATATAACTCTTTTTTGCATTAGTTGTAGAGTAGGAATCAGGATACTTCTTACTCTTCCCTACTTCTGTGACAATGGACTGTTCCTCCTTATAAATATGGTAAGTAGCCACATTAAAGTAGGATTTGAGTAGGATTTGATTTACTTAAGATTTTCTGTTCTATGTATGAGTCTTTCAAAATTTCTTTGTTTACCCCATGCAAACTTTTGTTCCTTCGATACTCTCTCTAACAATGGCCTTCCCGATTCTCGGCTATTTTGAACAAAGACATTAAAATACCCCTGTTACATAGATAAATATTTGAGCTTACCAATATTGTAAGAAAAATTATAAGTATGAATGCAAGTCATTATTCAAAGAAGTAAGAGGGTACAAATGAACATATTTGAAATTGATAAGTTTTTTCCATTTCACTGAAGCAGACGTTTTTCACAGGAGATTAATGTTCTGGTGTATTTGATTTTTTGAACATTGCCTTGTATCTCCGTAATTGTAGCCTTGTGTCAGACCTGAAAAACGCCTTGATGTGTCATTATAAAATTTTGAAAGAGCTAGGCTGCTATTAATAAATATTGTGTCGTCTAGGTTAATATTATATAACTTCGACTCAGCTGAGCTTTTATTAATAAATATTGTATAATATAGCCACAATTATTAAACATTGACTCATCTCTGACACTATTAATAAATATTGTCACATCTCAGCCATGATGATTTCTTCAATTCAGCTCACTCTCTATTAATAGATATTATCCCATCTAGCCAACTACTTTCAAACATTGACACATCTGAAGAAATATTGTTTAATCTAGGCCACTATTATGAAACTTTGAATGATCTCAGAAACTATTAATAAATATTGTCTCATCTAAGCCAATATTATTTAAAGTCTTTCACATTTCATTCATATATATTGTCTAATCTAGGCCAATATTATTAAACTTAGACTCATCTCAGCCACCATTAAAAATATTTTCTTATCTAGCTCTCTATTATTAAACTTTCATTAATCTCAGCTATGATTAAAAATATTTTCACATCAAGGACACTACTATTAAACTTTGAGACATCTCAGCTACTATTAATAATATTTTTTCTTATCTATCCTACTATTAGTAAGCCTTGACTCATCTCAGCCATTGTTAAAAAAATATTGTTTCATCTAGGCCACTATTATTAAACTTTGACTCAATACAGCCACTATTAATATATATTATCTCATCTAGGTCAGTATCATTAAACTTTGACTAATCTAAGCCATTATTAATAAACATTGTCTCATCTAGTCCACTACTAGTGAATATTGACTCATCTCAAGCACAATTAATAAATATTGTTTCTTCTCGCCTACTATTACTAAACTTTGCCAATATTAACAATTATTCTTGTATCTAGTCTACAAGTATTACAC